GTGTGGTTAGCAGTCTGGTTCTTATCCTACAGTACCACCAGTATTAAACCTATAGATTTTCCTGTGAGGACAGTGCTTTGAAAATGTTTCTCTATATCAAAGAACTGTATCAAATAGAGTTTCCTAAGTAGTTCTATTTTCTGTTACTTCTATTGTCCATAACAGATACATTATTGTTGTTTATGCTACATGTTTAATTTGAAATAATACCTAACTACAACTGAGTCAATATATTATGAATTGCTTTCCTTAGAATCAGTAGAGTTGTATACAAAAAAATCTATAAAATTAATCATAAAGTAATTTAAACTTTTGCCACAATTAATAAAACAACAACTAAGAAATCATCAGAGTAGAGGAGGCAAACCATGAAAGAATGTTAGTTACAGGGAGAATAGTTTAAATTAGTGGTCTCCAAAACTTTTTGAATATGTACCTAATCAAAAGGTTTGGGGAATCCTCACCTTCTTCAAAATAATTCAAATTCATCATTACTGTTGTCTTCCCTTTTTGTACTATAATCAGATGGTTTGATTTCTGTTGGAATGGGGGGAAATGAGATGCCCTTGTTTGCATAGCAGTTGGGGGCAGCCTATGTGAAGAATGATAATGTTTGCACTTTTCCTGAAATTTGTATAAGCCTGTCTGAATTAACAGAAGGATGCGAGTAGGGGGCAAAACATAGTACCTGTAAAAGGGTCCCAAGGACTGAAACTGCCAAATGATAAATAATTGGTAGGTAGTAATGGTAGTAAACCAGATTATATGAAAACTTACGTTTCATGATATTTATTTCTCCCTACATTCTGACTTCCTTAACCCTCTTGGAGTTTAAGATATATTGAACTAGTTTACCTCTTTCCCCCTTTGGAGAGTATATGTGCACATCTCAGGATTATGGGCAATGTGGAGGATCACAAGGTCACATAATACAGGAATTACTTACCTAAACAAATTATATTTAAACAGTGATTATGCCTTGTTTTATGTATTTTTGTGGGCAGGATTTGAATGATGATAGATGATGAATTTTGAGATTCTGGGTCACCTACAACTGTCTTCTGTTAATCTCACAATTTAGGGCACATTTTACATCAGGACTAAGAACAAGTAGGGAGTCCTGGTATGGTGTGGGAGGATAAAACATGGGACTGCAAAATTGTTTTGAACCGCAAGGTCAGCAGTTCAAAGTCACCAGACACTTCTTGGAAACTCTATACAGAATCGCTATGAGTCGGCACTGACTTGTCGGCACTTAACAAGAAGTACAAGTCAGGGGATAATCTATTGCTCTTTTTAGTCTCCCTCCCCTATCCTGTTATCAGAAAACCATCATACAATTCTGATATCACAAAGAAATAATTTGAACTATAAACCAAATGCAAGAGGGCTTCAAAA